CTGGAAAAACAGGCTCTGATAGCTTGCACCACCCTGCACCCCAAAAGGCGGGTTGACAAACACATTGCCCATCCACGCGTTGCACTCCAACAGACCATCGGATTCCATATCGTAATACACTGTCGCCCCAACACGTGTGTTAGCAGCCGCGGACAAGCATGGGTCCAGGTCGATCCTGCCAGGAGTGAACACCTCGCGCACCAGCTTTATGATACTCAGTGGGGTGAACCACTCCGGACTCTCACTGGAGAGAAACAGGCGCACATTCCCACCCCCTCCGCTTCGAACCATATGGACTCCCTCACCAGACTCGCTATCGCTGATATCCATGTCGCCACGTCGGGGCTGACGATGCGCTGTGCCTCCGGATCCATGTTGGGACCAACGGTGCGCGCTCCAGGTGCAGGAGTGGGTGAAGTGCGCGGTAAGATGCGGCGCCCACTGTCTACGGCATTGGGCTGCTGCTCTCGCCGACGTGTGCGCCTGTGCTGAAACTGGCTGTAGAGGCGCTGATACTCCTCCTCTGCCGCCTCGTCCGACATGCCATATAGATGCATGCGCATGTCAGGTGGCCAGGCACAGCTGACGTCTCGCACTCCAGGTGGTGGCATGGGCCGCGCGACAAGGCCACCCTGCTGGGTGAGCCGCTGTGTCTCTTGCTTGCACGCCATCATGTGCTGGCGTGTTTTGACGTGGTTGATAATATTCTCGATGTTGCCAGTCTTAGCACCGATGAACCACCCCCTGATGCCGCCGCTGATGCAGCATGCATATGGGTCTATACCGCCAAGCTCTGACCAGTTTGTTTTGAACTCGCCTATACAGGGGTTTGGGGGCAGACCCTGCAATTGGTCTAGATTGCTCGGTAGAAGGGTTTAAATTGACACCTGGGACAAGTTGAATTGCCGGGACAGGCCCTTGAATTGGCCTGACAGGGATAAGAATTGGCCTGGCAGGGACATTCCGACAGTCAGAATTAGCCTGACAGGGATACGAATTAGCCTGGCGGGACATTCCGACAGTCAGAATTAGGCTGACAGGGTGTCGAATTGGCCTGGCAGGGACATTCGGACAGTCAGAATTAGCGTGTTCAGGGTGTCGAATTAGGGAAGCACGGGAATTGTGCGACCGGGGCAGTCAAAAGAATTGCTCTGCCCGACAGTTTGTCCTACCCTCTAGCTTGTCGCAGCTTGTCGCGACTGCGTCTACAGGTGGACTTTGTTTGCGTGACTTTAAAGTAAAGGATCGTGGTGAACAGAGATCGTGTAACTTGAATCTCAAACCTACCCTTGTGTAAAGTAATCATTAAGGTTTTAGGTTACCTATCAACCTCTGCAAAGCCGCAGTCTGGATCATCCTGTGCATCCTGTGCTCAATCCGGCCCCCAAAAGCCGGATTGAGCCGCGCAACGCGCAACGTCCAATTGTAGCTGCTGGTGCTTCACTTCTGATTCCACTTTACGACGTCGACGGCGTATTTGAGAAAGCTACCGTTTTCTATGAAGCTTCAAAAGCAAGTGGGGTCCCTTGCTCATGCAGTTTTACGGCAGGAGATAACCGATGCTTTGACCAACCCGGAATGGGAGGGTTGGGGAACCTCGATGTTACGACTGTTTTCCTTCTTGGAGTGCAATATTTGGAGCGGAATACCGCAAGAAGTCGTGGGGGTAAAGGAGCATGTTGACTGGTTGTTGAATAGACCTCTCCGCGAAGGAGCGGTGATAACGGCACTAAGGGAGCGCTTGATGAGCGGCTAGGACCATGCGCGTCTGACTGTCTTGCCAGAGGAGTACCCATCAGATGGGAAGCAACCGGGAGTGCAAATGGCGAAGTATAAGCACTGGATGGGGCTGCCCTTTTCGGGAGCTGCAGCCGTTACACATGCTCGTTTAGCACATCGTAAGCTAATTCAGCTTCGTTTATGCAGTTTCGTTTATGGCAAATTAGACTGAGATGCGACGGAGATACGCGGTCTGCAGTGTAGGGCCCTTGGCAGCTGGCTTCCCCGCTTCCTATCTCAATCATTTAAAGCACGGTCAGCAAGCACGCCATATTCGGCAGAGCCACGAGAATACGGTTAAGGGAGACAGGAGCACAGAACAGAGCACGAAGGTGCAAGTACAATGTCCCCAGGGAGCAGCGGTTTTGCCGCTGTTGTGGTACTAATAGGATGAAAAACATTGTGTTATTGGAATGCCCACCCTATAATGGTATCTGTGCGGAAGAGGGATTCGATCATCAACAGAGCAGGTTGGAGGCCATGCAATGGGAACCAGTACGTCTGGCGAGGATGTTGGAACGTATGTGGGCTCACCACAACTCAGTTATCCCCTTTGGGCGCTTGGGGTGTTTCCTTTTCTATACACACACACACACACACACACACACACACACACACACACACACACACACACACACACACACACACACACACACACACACACACACACACACACACACACACACACACACACACACACACACACACACACACACACACACACACACACACACACACACACACACACACACACACACACACACACACACACACACACACACACACACACACACACACACACACACACACACACACACACACACAGTACATAAGGCCCCCATCTCCTCCGAGAGACTGGGGCTGTCCCGAAGGTGGTGGCTCCTGTAATTTGTGGCTCGTAACAGGGTTGCTCATGATTTGCTAACTCCCCCGTTGTGGTCTTGAACTGGGGCCCCTCATTTGTGGGCCATGTGTATAGGTGTAGTAGCTGGCCGCTGAAAAGGCCTCTCGAGATGCTGGTGGTCGCGCTACACGCGTATTTGTATAGCCGTACTGTGTACCAGCTACTACAATAGGCTGTCAGCATAGAGGAGTGGGCCATGGGGACCAATGTCCCCGGTTGCTTGGCGCCGTCTGCACCGTCGCGCGGGGGTACCTTGTAAGGCCTTCTGTGGCCAATAGAGTATTTGGGTGCAGATACAACATCGATGACCTCTCAGAAAAAATGAGAGTTACCTACTTACCGTTTTCTACTTACGTTTTCTAGGGGCATAATAATAAAATTTGCACCGTGGGGTCTTGCTGAGAGATGAGTATATAGGTATGATCGTCCATACCTAATTTTGCTAAAATCTGGTAAGCGTAAGCTAAGTTCGCACAAAGCTGGCACAAAAAAACGTTATCGGGTCTAAGAAGTGAATGATGGATGAAGCTGTTATTGCGTCTGTGGCAATTGATCAGGACGGGGTTCTCACCGATGTCGTCCCCTTAGGTAAAAGCCCCATAAGCCCCATATGTTTGTGTTACATGGTTGGGGGTTGAGTGACCCCATACCTGTAAAACTACCCATACGAGCCGAAGGCCCAAGGGCAAATACCCAAACCCCTAAAAGCCACGGGGAAAAGGAAACGCCGCACATCAGCCCAGACTAGCGTCCAATGGGGATAACTGAGTTGCGGTGAGCCCACATATGCTCCAACATCCTTGCGTTGTCTCATCTGGGCGGGAGTCTAGTTTGTATGTTAGTCTGTAGCGCAGTGCACGGCCAGCTGGCGCGCTTGCGCTACTCTTCGTGAGTCTGGAGCCCACTGTAACAACCACAACAACATGCTCCCATGCAAGACGTGCTGGATCCCATTTCATGGCCTCCAACATGCTCTGTTGATTACCGAATCCCTCTTTCGCACGAATAGCATTATAGGGTGGGCAAGCCTTATGTGACGTAAAAGTCCATGCAGCTTGGAGTGTGTCCCAGTCGTCTTGCACTTCCTTGCAGGGTAAATAAAAGGGGACTTGAAGGCATGGACTGCAGTCATCCTTGCTGCTGCTGTCCCAGCAGCACACAGCAAGCCGCGCAAAGCACTCCATAGTTCCGCCGTATCGTAGAAGTTACGTAAGCCACCTAGGAAAGCAAGCTGCCGCTCAGAAAGCAAGGGAAAGGCAAGGTTTTGCAAGGTGCAAGGTCGTACAAAAGCACATGCATGGGCTGGGGTGTATCCTCGTCGATCTGCGCAAGTCAGGGTATGGGCCGAGGAGCCGGAAATGAAAGACAAGGCGAAGATAGCCATCGGACGATATTGTTGCCGAATTTGCAGCCAAACTAGGTGACAAAACGAATGATTGGATTACGGGGAATATGCAGGGTATGAGAGCGATGGTTAGTGAGGATAACACCAAAATATATATTATTATTTGATAGGACGGAGCACCAACACAGATTTATACCCGTACGGCGAATCCGTATAGGCTTCACTCTAAATGCGCCCGTCGCAATGTTGTATCGGGGCTTCCCACAGGCTCCGACTCACGGCTTAAGTTAAAAATTACTGTTATGATGAGAGATCTGAATATGAATTCGCGTAGCTGGTTTCTAGTCAAACAACTGACGTTGGTGTCGGAATACGTCTTCGACCGCGAAAGATACGTAACGTTCATGTTCCGAAGGGCTGATCCAAGGCCTATGTGGTGCCTGCTTTTATGAAGATTGTGCCCATAATAAGTCACTTACGTCTGTCTCCGGAGCAGGTACTGCTGCTAGGGGAGCTACGTTCGCTCCTCTTGCTATGGGCGACTCGCTATGATTCTACCTTATAATATACCTTGAAACAAAAAAACAATATTACTTTCAATTATTACACACAATTTAAGAATTTAAGTTGTATGTGCCAGCAACCGAAGCTGACCTAATCGAGTCAGTTTTCAGCACAGTGGCTCTGACAGCGCTACTTCAGTTTTTTTTAAGATAAAAGAGTGTTTAACAGCTGCATAGGATTACCCTTTTGATGTTCTTACTGATAGTGTCGATGAGCACGGCTTACAAAAAGGTCACTCTGCACACTTCCCAGACCTTGCTACCTTCTTCTATGAAAGTGCTTAGACGCTCGACTCCTCATTTCCCATACTTGTCAGGCTTTCAATGTGGCTGGGCGTGAGTATCAGTTGCTAGGATGAAGTTAATGGGTGAAGTTTCACCTTGCTAAAGCATGGTAATGACCGAAAGGTGTGTGGTTGCCAGCAAATGGCCCGACACTTTGTCGGCTCTGCCCCACAATCGGGCCCTTCAGGGAGAGAAAATAATTATGCTCATAAATCAAACGACATATGTTGGATAACTTCGTTCTTCCGTCTTCAGCGCTTCAGCTCACTGCCGTTGCGCGAAAACCCATCGAAAACGAAGCACGTACCTACGGCGAAGGGCCGGCACTGTACATGTATACGTCCCATGAGTTCTTGTCGTCAGTCGTCATTTAGGTGGAACATCGTTTCCGCCGTACTTTTATAAGCGTTGCTAGTATGATCGACCTTTGTCCAATTCATCCCCCTGTCTTTTCTGATTCCGGCGTGCTTCGTCCTACAATGTGCTTCAAATGCAACCAGTTTTTATGCCCTTAGCTTTTGCGGCCGCGGCCACCTCAGCTTGCATCCCTGGTTCGCTACCTTGTGCGGCTTCGCTGCCGTTCTCCGAAAGCTGCCGCGATGAGTAATGCCCGCCGCCCGCCGTATGACATGTACGACACGACACGCCCTTAGCGGTTCTACAAAGAGGCGACGAGCAGCCTTTTACCTCAGATGCTTCAGCTCTGCAGCGTTGATCTTTACAAGATGAAGCTCATCAACATTTTCTGCGTAGTGTTGGCCGCGGGCCTGTAAGTTGCTAGTTCCCTTCGGCTTTTGCTTCTGTTGCGTGGATCTGCATTCTTAATTCACGTGGTAGCTTCTGAATTGCTTTTACGTTTTTGCGACAAAACTCGTTTCGAGCCTGGTGCAACTCTGTTCGTGCTGCGAATGCATATAATGTCTCTACCGTCGACAGCCAGTCAGGGCCAGCCACAACCAACAACAATATCCTTCAACGTCCCAAGAAATCTGCCCTTTCCTGTTATTTTTGTCGTTTTGTTGTGTTTTGCAGGGCCGCCCATGCTGGCGCCCAAATGATGCCGTGGCCATACAACACGGTGTGCGCGCAGCAGCCGGCGATCTACTCCGTCGTTCCCCAGGTCACCGAGCGGCCCAACAACACCTACTGTTTTAAGATCGCTGTCAACATTCCCCCCAACTGCGCCGGCACCTGCTGCTCGGCTGACCTTTACAAGTTCGAGGTGAGTGATCCACCCCTTCGTCGCCGGACTGTCGGTGCACATGGACATGCCTATGACGTGGATTCCGGGGCGAAGTTGCGAACGAGCTTCATTTCCGCGCCGTAAGCGTAAGCGAGATATTACAAGTCTTTTTTAATGGCGCTAGGTACCCAGTGGGGCGCTATCCGGGCCCCCTATCGACAGCGAATCAGCAAGAGCCGCCTAAAGCCCTTGTGCGGGTTCACACGCACCTACCCCCCGAGTACAGAACTCCATACCTGACTGAGATCGCGTCCTGTTCTGTGTAACGGACTTTCGTTCCATGGCCAGCAGTGAGCAGTCCTGCGAACGTAGTTCTGCAGTTCGCGACTCAATCCCGCCTGTCTGTTTGCTGGCCGCCTACCGGACCCAAATTTAGTTACATCAAAATCCCATAAGGCTTTTTTTATTTGGATAAGGACCGTTAGAATGGAGCCGTTGGAGTCCCTGGTAACCACCCGCGACCGACATCCTGGGTAATATCCGTGAGAGTATTTCGGGTACTAAATATCTTGGTACACAAATCAGGGGGCACATGCAGCTGCGTCCATGCCTACACAACAGAATTCACTTAGACACCTAACTGTGGACGGGTCGCCCAGCAGCTGCCCAACAATAAGTGGTATCAAAGCCTACTGAATTTACTGGGGTTCCTCCTTCCTCCTCTCGCAGCTGAATGTGGACCCTAGCTGCAAGGTCGCCGGTGCCAAGCTGAGCTCTACCCTCAACGGCAAGCCAACCCCCACCCAGCCATCCCTCGACAAGGCCCCCAACGAGCCGGCTGGCGTCATCCTGCGCATTCCGAACCTGGGCCTCAAGATGTCCAACGCCGATGGCGCCGAGATTTGCGTGAGCCTGGGCCCTAACGCCGCTGGCAAGGGCTGCCTCTCCCTGGAGCAGCTCTGCAAGCTACCGGCCGGCGGTGCTCCAGGCACCTGCGAGACTGCCCTGTACGACTCAAAGTTCAAGTGCTGCGCCATTGGCCAGCCGTCCCAGCCAACCCCGATCAAGCCGCCCATTAACTGCACGTGAGTCCTGCCTGGGAAACGAACCGGGGCTTTACAAGTGCTGTTTCAGTGCCCTTTGATTTGAGCTTAAGTCCGCATGCAAGCCGTGTATATATCTGATCTGATATGGGCTTTCCACGCTTCGAGCATATGAAGGACGCTATGAAGTGGGAACCTGAACGCCTGGCAAGGATGCTGGAACGCATATGGTCCCACCGCAACTCTATCGTCCCCTTTGGTCGTTAGTATACTTCATCACTTGTTCCGTTGGAAGTGCGAGGTAGGATGGTGCTTATAGGCGATTTGGCAGCCCTTGAGCCCTCGGCTCGTACTAGGGTGGTTTGCAGGTACGGGGAACGCACCCACGACCATGTAACAACAACAACAACAACAACATATCTGTGCCGGCGGAAGCATGACGGCCCGCTGTGTGTGTCCGGGCTCTGCATTCGTTTTTCTGTGGCTGCTGGAAGTATTTCGGTCGTGTGCGTGTGCGTGTGTGCGTGTGTGCGTTTGCGTGTGTGCGTGTGCATCACCAAACATTGCATGGAATAAGTCTCCAGAAATCCGGTTCTCTCGGCGGCAAACATTGGAATGCGACACTCTTGTCGACCTGTGAACGTAATCTTTCCCCCGCACCCCTCCACCCCACATACGGTGGTCACGATGTGTTGCAGGTGCGAATACATGGCAGGCACCACGCCATTCACTGTTGGCAGCGGCGCCGCCACTGCTACCCCCACCACTACGGGAACCACCGTGTACTGCCTGCCGATCACCACTACCTCCACCTTCGACGCCGCGGCGGTGAGTGCTACTAAGCATAGGAATGAGTCCGATGAGCATCAATCAAATCATGCTGGCCAGATTGCCCACGCAGCTCGGACCTTCGCTCCCATGTGTCTCGAACCGCCACTTGGGCACCAGCCCCACGTATTTGAATATGACACGTGCCAGGGTTGAGTCGTTTGGGTCGTTAATATCTACCATACCCGTCGTACATCCCATGTCAGGCTAGCCACAAATAACACCAAGCCCCCTCCCTGCCTTCATCGGTTTCGTAAAAGCGGATAAAGAGCAAATGGTGCAAAACCCCCCTCGCAGTATTTCCCAGACACGGCTGAAAATGTCTCGCTTTATCTATCTCGCCAGATGGGCACGTGAAAATTTCCCACAGTCGCACACACCTCCCCCACACGAACTACATCCGTACACGCAGCCAGGCATCCAGACATATGCCCACGGCGCCGCAACATCCCCCTCCCTGCAGGGTGGCTGCGGCCCAGTTGACGTGCTGCACAAGATCGAGCTGTACGCGAGTAAGTCCCTGGACGTTTGTTTATTTCGGCTTCTCTAAAGCATACACCTGCTTCCTTACACTTTTTGCATGAATATGTGCGTACTCGCTTACCTGCTTAACGGTGGGGGCACATACGGACTAGCACAGAGCTTGCAAAGGAAAGGGCCGATGGGAGGCTGTCGTGTATGCTTCGTGAGCATGTATTGAATCGTGGAATGCCGTCCGCCTCCCTGGTTCCGTAAACCGCTCTTTCCCACTTGCAGACCAGGCCATGAGCAGCGCCGTTAAGAGCCTGCGACTGGTCACCGGCAGCACCTCCAAGACCATCTCGGCCTCCTGGGGCGGCGCCAACAGCAACGTCTTGAAGTGTAAGCATGCGCCGTGTTGCGTCGGCCTTGGGAAGTTAAGGGAGATTTGCATTACTGTATAGCTGTAACATACGCTCTAGCTGGGGAGGGGAGGACGGCGGACAGTGATTTTTTTTTCATTTAGGGGGGGTCTCAATTTATTCCGACCTAAGTAACAAAGTTGCTAGCGTCGCCGTAATACATTCCTTAAGAGTGGGGCGCTGGGGGGGGCGTAGCCCCCCCCAGACCCCCCCGATAAGTTACAACTCCCCTCATAGACCAAGAGGCACGCACTGCGTTGGCGCGTTTTCGTTCATGTGCGCACTCTTCATGCACATGCATAGATAGTTCTGGCACTGTTTGTGAACAAAAAGTCCCGCCATGCACCGTCGCTCATGCCCTTGCGGATGCGCTGTGTCTGAGCCCGCTTGGCACTGCGAGCGCTCGGGTTGGGCGCCTCGCCGCATTCGTTGTTGTCGAGCTGGTTGGGTGACAGCTTGCGCTTATGCTGATCACAACCGCCATGGAAGGCAGGGGTAATGGCGCCCGTGTCATCGGTCGCCGCTGGCAGCAACACCATTGCCGATGCATTACCGACAACAGCACCGCCGTCCCAAACGCCTTTATCAGGAAAAATTTCGGGCTTATCTTGCTGTTTTGGTGTTTGTTCGGCGTTCAAGTCGTTGCCTTTTGCGTGTTTGGCTATGTAAGGACCGGTCATACATTCTGCTATGCCGCGTTGACTCACGGGCTTGACCTTCTTACGGCCCCTCATATCTATTCTATGATCGATAATACTAAGTTCTGCACACTACGGAGCAATCTGGCAGCAATGGACGTTTTTGGCTGGAGGAATGAAAATGTACGGATCGGCCTCAATTTGTTCCTTATTTCCAAAGGCCAAAATGGCCTCTTTATTCCTTAAAAGGAATATATTACTTGAAAAAACACTGCGGCGGAGGATTCCACGAAGGGAACAGGCGGAGGTCAAATCCCTAGGCGAACAGTGGCGGGACAGACGGAGGTGCAAAGGTCAGAGGGGATAAACCCATAATCTCTCTGTAAGAAGGGATCAGCTCCCATTGGCATCCCCCGCGAGTGCTCTTTTTGACTGATCTTACACTCTCAACCCCCCCCCCCCGCACCCTCAACACATGCCTCCGTGATGTACCTGATGCACCACAGTCACCCCGATCAACTGGACAAGGGCTCAGGCCGCCAACTCCAAGGTCTGCGTGGAGCTCAAGAACCCAGCTAAACTGTCGGACTTCTGCATCGAGGACAGGTGGTGAGTTGTCGCGTCTCAACGGCGTGTCGCAGCAACCAGCGGTCAGGGGGCAGCAGGCAGCTACAGCGCAGGATGCTTCGCCAGCTGGAATCGAGTAAAACCCTAAAGCCAAAAGAGTTGAACATCCCAAGGGGCGCATCTCAGTCGATCACGGCCTTGCCCTCGCTGCGTGTGTGCGCGCACGGGTCCTCACCCCATATGTGCATGCCCAACGTAACCCAGCGCGAGATTCACCACCTAGCTCTCAGCTACCCTACCATGCCTGCCTGCTTAGCCCGTGCATCCTAGCCCATGTGTGCAGGATTATCCCAGCTTCACCGCACCTACTCTCTTCCGCAGCTTATAACAGCTTGAACCCGTCGCCATTTTTAACCCCGTCTCATCTTTCCATCCTCCGCAGCTACCTGTTCCTCTTCAACGAGAACAAGGCGTGCTGCCCGATGTACACGGTTCCGGTTTAAGGGCTGAACGGTTGCGAATTCAACGGCGAATTGCCGTCGTACGCGTGTGTAGAGCACTGCAAGTTACTACAAGCTGCTGCTGCTGCTGCTGTGCGGCGGCGGCGGCGGTATGCGCCACGTGACTCCAATCGGAAGTGTGACTTGCAATCGTTTTGCTACGGCGTGATGTATAGGGCCGATAGGGCTGGGGATTGCATTCAGCGGAACCTTTGTGGATTACATGTGGCGTGCCTTAAAAATATTTATGGCGCAGTGGTGCAACTGGTCCGTAGGATGGCGTGCTCTACCCTGCTCTACCTCGCTCGCTCGGGAGATATATTTGAAGCAAGGTATTGACAGACTTGGGGTCTCGTTTGGATTTGGAATCAGATATCGTTCTGAGGATCTAAACAAAAGGACGGAGGTGGAAGTGAAACTGGTCCGTGCCAGTAGTGGTGGAGGCGCACCGGCGTTTCTAAGAGGGGTCGTTGTATATGTCACGCGTTGGACAACAATTATCTCAGAAAGCTGTGTGGCAAACCAATCCGGCGGAGGCGTGAGGAGTTTGATGAAGCTGCAATTTTTTATAAGAGGCTGATGTAATGATGATTAGTGAAGGCGTCCTTTGCCAAAAAGACTGCGGCCGCATCATAATCATGGAATAATGCCGTATCATCACCCAATGCCGTATCCAAAGGCAGCGCAGCTCCATGTACAGCTACACATAGTTATCGAATACCGCAAAGAGCCATCGCGATGACAGTATTCGCGTTTCTCTATCTGCAATCACCCGTTATTGTCGTACATGTGCAACCATGACGCCATCTCCAAGCAGTTCTCGCACCCGTGGCCGTGCTGGACACACTACTTTTCCCAAGCCTTTCCACAACGCAATTACATTACATTACATTACATTACATTACATTACATTACATTACATTACATTACATTACAACGCAATTAGATCGGCTTACTGGTACTAAAAATAATTGAGTCCAAGTACTAAGACCATCGATACCATGTAGGGCATTGTTATATCACGACTTTTTCTCTCAAAAAAGGACTGACTCATGGAATGAATGCAAAACATGCGTCGGGGCGGTCATCATGGCCCACATTGCATGAGTCATAGAATAACATGCCCAACATGACCTGGTCATGTTCCGCATATCATAGATATTTATGGCGGGATTATGACCGACGTTATGACCACTTGGAGTCATAACGTGCAGCCATGACTGCCAGTGGCTGGGGTCATATTGGGATCCACTTTTTGATATATTGACATCATGAATCGCAGACATTCTATGACCCCACCGGTCATATCCCGCACTTGGCTTACACAAGCTATTATGAACTGTTCCATGACCGGGTGGGTCTATGACTGAGTGACAAATTATGACCGGATCCCTGACCACATACATGACCGACTCCATGACAGGAAAACCCGTCCATGACCAAGTCATTCCCCAAGTGCTTTGTTATCCAGGGTTCAGTTTCGGGTCTGGCCCCATCGTTTCTGGGGACCAGGGAAAGCGGGGTGATGTGTGCATGCGGGAACTTGTGTCTGTGTGTGTTTGTGTGTTTGTGTGTGTGTCTGTGTGTGTCTGTGTGTGTCTGTGTGTGTCTGTGTGTGTCTGTGTGTGTCTGTGTGTGTCTGTGTGTGTCTGTGTGTGTCTGTGTGTGTCTGTGTGTGTCTGTGTGTGTCTGTGTGTGTCTGTGTGTCTATGTGTCTGTGTGTGTGTCTGTGTGTGTGTCTGTGTGTCTGTGTGTGTTTGTGTGTGTGTGTGTGTGTGTGTGTGTGTGGTTGTTACAGTGGGCTCCAGACTCACGAAGAGTAGAGCCAGCGGGCCAGCTGGCCGTGCACTGCATTGCACTGCACCTGAGGCGAACACGGGTATCAATGTGCGTGCGGACGGCCATGTACGCCGGTACGCCTGGCTTGCGCTCTGGCATCTTCCTAACAGGAACGCAATATATCCCGCAAATCGCATGTCCCGGTAGGGCTATAGCTAACGGTGGGTCCGCTGTATTACGGCAAACAATGCTTCGGCAAGCTGCTTGTCCCAGCGGCATGCGTGTGCCGCCGCCCTTCCGCCTAGGAAGAGAATATACCGCTCCGAATGCTAAGAATAAAAAGTAATTGCCCTATTGATAACAGTGCGCGATTGGTAAACAGTGTAACGGGACAAACTTGGTACGTACTGTTTAGCAGGATCCCACCCGACAATTTACCAATGTCTGAATTTACGCTGTTTATTTAATTTTGCTGGAATAAATCATTTAGCTTTCGCACGCCCAGGCGTTTTGTCGTCTCGTGCTTTACTTGTTTTTTTGGTGATGCATGGGTTTCCAACCTTTTTCAAGCAGATGTAGCAAGCATTATTGAAATCACATAGACTGATGCATTTCTCTTGAACTACGGGGGCAGGTAAGAGCGAATGTATTAGATTAAGGCGAGCACGGAACATTGATTTGGCGGGCGCAAGGGTGGGCGCGAGGATCGGAGCGCCCCATCCGTCGACTGGGCATTTTGCTGTTAGCATATCCAGGAGCCCTCAGATTTCTATCATCATGGAAGAAATGTCAATAGCGGCAAGTGGAATTACAGGAAAACTACGTCTCGCCAAACGTATCGACGCAACTTGCAGAGCGCCGCGCTACCGTAACCTGTTACCGCAAACGTAACGCGCTACCGTAAACTGTTAAGCAACTCCTCCTCCTCAGTGTGTGTGTGGGTTTGTGTGTCTATGTTTTTTTTGGTG